ATCTTGAATATTTAAAGGTTTATGATAGATCAGTTCTTCACATGTTCATGTGGTAATAATGTTCACTGTAGAAGACATGATATTTTCAGTTCCTTAATTCTGCATGTGCAAGAAAATTTGAATTTGGAATTTCAAAATCTCTTATTCATCACAACGAAATGTATTGGAAGTAGAATCATTCTGGAAATCGTTCTAGAGGGAAACAAACACGAACAAGGATGTGTTTCTTCAAACCTGTTTTGAACAACATAGTTGTGGGACTGGCTATAGATTATTTTGGCTACAGAACAAAAAAAAACATAAGCCTTGAAGATTATTGAAAAAGAAAAGAAAAGAAGAATTATATGTGAAGATCATTGCCATATTCTCTGTATAACTGCCTAATAAAGGCTATCACCAAAAGTTCCTGATCCAGTATTTGCTCTGTGAAGCATCGAGTAGGACAAGTTTTTACAGTTACTCTCTGTTATCTTGTAGCTACTTTTGTTGTTATCTCTTGAAATCAACAACCTGAAGAATACAAGACAGTTCAGAAGGACCATTCACATAAACCTGATTCTTTCTCAACCCACGTGTTATGGAACTGGTCGATTATATTCATAGATCATTGCTCCACTCTTACAACCAAGTCATTCATGGCTTCAGTGTAGCTCACTTCCTTTAAGCTATCTGACATTGAGAAATCTTCGGATCATTTTGCTACATATCATTAGTCATTTGGCAAGCTACTCACCACGCAGGGCTTTCACTAAAACGGGGAACTATGTGACATATTCTGTTTGCTTTATGCTATGCTCAGACATATCAATGGCAGCACCCCATGCAAGTGTGGCAGCTTTGCTGAAAGCTCATCACCCTGAGTGGAGTCCGGCAGCCATCTGTTCAGCTACGATGACCACTACATATAATTTCAACAACTGAACTCCTTTGACAAACCAATTTCATATTATGAACCCAAACATCTCATATTCAAATAGAAAAACGAAAAAGCAAAGAAAAAAAAATATGTTCTTATCTTCATAAATTTTATTAGTTATTTCCAGATTCCAGCATGTAAGGTTTTTTCCCAACACATGAGAAGTCATAGATATTTACACCTCACAAAAATTTTACAAATCGGAGCTGGAAGCTATCCAAATTATTACTTATAATCAAATATGTTTTTTTTTCTGACGAAATTCTCTTCTATTCCTTATCGACTTCAGATGTATTTCATTTTTGCAATATCTCGCTATTGCCAGCATAAATGTTGTTAATTATTTACCCCATCGCCCGCCCCCACAAAAAAAAATATTCTTAATTAGAGAAGAACTCGGTACCAAAGAAACGTGGAAGAAACAACATAGCAAATATATATACATATATATGTTTGTGTCCATTAATGGCAGCAACAAAAGCGAACTTTATTCAATTATTGGGGGTCCAAAATCAGCTTATAATATTTTCGAAACCTGGAATGCAGGTAAAATGTGATGTGCAATTGAGCTTTTATGTCGTTAAAGAGTTTCTTGATCAACAGATGACAGCCGAAATCTCGTTCGATGTTATTCCACAGGAAAACAAGTCAAAATTTAGAAAAAGAAAAGAGGTATCGGAAAACTTAAAGCCCCAAAACAGGAAATAAGTCTTTTTCATGGGGACCCTGAAAAAAAAACACACAAAATTAGAAATGATGGAAACTCATTTCTAAAAATATGGGCCAATGTGAACAAACTCTAGCATTCTCAAAGTTTTTATGGGTCTAAGTCTTTTGGTCTTGGTAAGTCCGATTCTCCAAATCCAATCTCTTTGACAGATTCATCCGCCAGTGTCTCGGACCTTATTGCACGGCCCGTGACACTAGCATGATGCGACTTCTAGAATTATGATAGGCACAAACCCTCCACTTAAGTTATTGTTGTTCTTCTCCAGGGATTAGTGCTAGTTTAATGATTTTAATCTTAATCTCATCATTGTCAATTATATTATTGTTATTTGTCAGTGGATCATGATTTAACATAATAATTAAGGATTTCATATTTGAATTAATATTTTAGAGGAGAGGTTTTGGATGTTCGGGACCGATTCCTTTAATTATGCTTCCTTCTAAAATTTCTCACTCCTATTACTTTAGCAATAGTTTGGAGGTTGTCTGAATGCTAGGGAAAACTCTAAGAGAGACGCGATCTTTTTACCCTTTCTGATTGTGTTATTGAGTTGTTTAACCGAGATTAAAATATTATTTTAAGGCATATAAGTCGGATTACAAATAAGGTGGCAGATCAACTAGCTAAGATTGCCACAAGAAGAGGAGAGGTTCATAAGGTATTCTCCATTCCACCACGAGAAGTGGCTGAATTAGTCCAACAGGAAGTTGCCGACTGCAATTTGACAGCAGAAGCTTAATCCACTGTAACTTTTTTCTTTTGCTCACCAAAAAAAAAGTACTAATTCAATTTTTTTTATTAAATTGTTCTTTGCCCTGTTTTTTCATTTCAGATGGTGGACACAAAAATTATCCCAACTTGATGTTAACCCCATAGATAGAACTAGTTTGTATTGTATTTTTAGACTGTATCCCTAATAGATACATTAGAAAACTCTAATCATGTATAGCTTAGGATTACTATCTCATCTAACAACAGCATAAGACAACGTAAAACTTGGCAGGGTGGGAGAATTGTATCGTATATGCATGAACCGTTAATATTATTACATTTATGTAAGGGTCAATTTTTATTTTTGTTTCATTTTTATAAACATATGATTATTCTATTAAAAAAATTTAATTTGTAGTCATTTTCGTTTCGTTTTAATTAAGATGTGATCACTTACCCTAATCGCTGTTAAAAGTGTAACGATTTGATGGCGTGGTTAATAACATGGTTTAATTTTTGTTTTAACCCTTGAATTTTAGATAAAATTTAATTAAAAACTTTTTATTAATCTAAAGCAGTTTAGGTACAAATTTGTAATTTACCATTTTTTTAATATGTTTTTCTTCTTAATTCCCTCTTACACCGCACACCCCATCGTTTATAATAAGTGATCATATCTTAATTAAAACGAAATGAAAGTGATCATATTTTAATTAAAATGAAACGAAAGTGTCTACGAATTAAATTTTTTTAATCAAGTGACATTCATTTATAAAAGAAAAAAAAAATAAACGTCCAACTCTGTAGTTTACCCTTTATAAAATGCAAAAAGCGCTAGCCGATCCTCGGCTTTTCCCTTTGAGATGTTGAGATGTCGGTCCTCGCAGTCACAATTTGGATTTGCTCATGTAGCCTTCCGATATGCAAAAGTAAACAATGCTATGTACATATGGTACAAGCGAAAGGATGATTAAAGGGTCCGTCAGGTTCCCCACTCGACAGCGAATCATCCCTGACGACGGTCACATCGACTCCATAATAATTAAAACCACGATGTTGGGGTCATCCTCAACTGTCACTAATCGCGTTCGTCTCATGATTTCAATACCTTTGCTGTTAGGTATAGCAGTCAATGCGAAACAAAGCCAATAACTGTGGCTATGTGGGCAATTTATGGCATATGCGTTATTGTGCACCAAGAAAGGAGGCCAATCTCCAGTTACAGCCCACAAATAGATCAGCAGAGTGGAAGGGCCAAAAGAATAAGGCAATGATTAGTATTTGATCAACTAAAACTCTATTTTCTGTCTTTCAAATTATTACATCATTAAAAAATATTTCAGGTTGGACTTTCAATTATTGCTCGAAGACGATTTGTCACCAAACAGCAATGGAACTGCCTCACCTATGGGGGATCCCAGAGTTATTCAACATAACCACCCTATGTACTGCAATGGAAAGTAGTGGCCAAGGCTTTATTAGTATTAAACATGACGAGAGCCAGCAGTTGGTCTCTGCTGCAGCTAGCTTAAATGTGTCCTCCACCGACAGTGCCTTGGGAAATTGTTCAAACGTTCCACTGGCCTAATCCCACAAAAACAAACACAACCCCACGTTGTCAGGCAATAACAGATTCTGTTAGAGAGCAGGCTATTGAAGAGCACAATTTCTGCACCGACTATTTATTTATGGCGTCTCGAATTTCAATGGTAAGCGGTCTTTAAAGGTCAGCTAAAATGTGTCATGGAGAGCAAGGACCAACGTCTTCATATTCAATCAACTCTACCTCTACGTTTTGCCACCAAGTAAAGCCTATTGGAAAATTATATGCCTTATAGTTAGTTATAAGTGAAATCTGGTGCATACTTACACGGACCTGGACCTGTGGATCATATACATACGACTGTATCGACCCGAGCAAATGTGAGCAGACAACATCTCCAATTGATGCTTTTTTTAGAACACACAAAAGAAGTATTGGTCTTCCTAAAAACTCAGGTTTAAACTCCTGCATATATAGAGTGTGTGTTGTCAACCTAATCAAAAACACAATTTTTATATGTTCAGTGGACCACATTCTTCGATATATTAAAGTATATTGTGTATCAGATGACTGAAACTTCAAATCAATAGACCAATAAATAACACCACTATGTGAATAAGGGAATCTACTAACAGACATACGAAAGAAAATTAATGCAACTCTAAAGAAAAATCTTTATTCTGCGGAGCTTGCCGAAAATGGGCCAAGGACGAGGGTAGCAGACTAACTCGCAAAACAGAAGAAAGCATATTGGAGTTTGTTATGTAATTGTAATATGGTTAAATATTCTTTAACCAAAAACACACTAATTAATATCAAAATTAATTTTAAGTAAATATTTCAAATTCATAAGAGGTAAAAAAAATTATTTACTTTTCACTTTCTTCCTCACGAGAACAAAAGAAGTTTATGCGTTTGTTTTCATTCAAATATTTTCTGTAATGAAAGGGTTACGAAATTAGCATACTAACTCGCAAAACACAACATGAATGTTATTTTCCTCTACCAAGAGGAAAGCCCAATGTGAATCATTTTTCAACACTGGAACAGAACAGAAAACATATTGTTTGAACTTCGAAAAGATCCTGAGAAATAGCAATTAAAGTCACCACTTTATGCAAAATGGGGAATGAGGTATCAATCCCCTACAGCCAACCTGTTACAATTTATAACATAAAATAACCTGAACAAGTATGCAATGTTATCAGTTTCAATATAACTTATATAGTTTCTATTGTGTCTTAACCAGAGGAAGAGTTTGGTCTCAGTTTTATTATACACTCTGCTTCTGCTCGGCTAAGATACACCTGATGAAGAGCTATTCCCAGCATGATTCATCTCTAATTCCAGCTGTGACCTGCCTCCCTTGCATATTTCCTTCACACGTAAAAAGGAAAGAAAATAAATAAATGATTCGTGCATTAATTCAGAGAGTTCTCCGACCGATTCATTTCATGTTAATGCTAAATTTACCTTGGAAGATGATGAGTGGGCGAAGGAACCATAGCGTGCCCCAGCAGAGGATTCAAAGCCAATTGAAGCTTCCAAATTACACATATTAGCCGCAGAAGGTTGAACAACAGGCAGATGTGAGACGGTGGATGGACCAGATAGATTAAAAGCTGTATTCATCGTGCTTTCTTCATTTGAAGAAAATGTGCCTGCTCCTATGTTGGGATTAAAGAATCCATGTCCCTCATCGTAGCCCATGCCTGTGGGAAGCATTTGCATTGGCTGTGGTGCTGCGGGTAAGGGCATAGGGTACAAACTCAATCCATTTCTCATTGACAACATCTGCAACGGCAATGAAACTAAAGATTTAAAAAACAAGTCCACTATTTTATCATTTCATCTACACTGGGTGTTTAAAAACTTCCAATGCTATCATGTGCAACAAATCAAACAAATGATCTTATCATCATAACAGAGTACAAATATAAAAAAAATCCCGTTCTCTTTGGATCATGTCCATGACCATTACGAGAAACAAAACAGTCTAAGCATGAAACTAAACGCATTGATGCCTAACCACCCTTTTCATCCCAAATGCAGGCTGGTTAGTAGACATTTTCAAACTTACAGTGTCATGATATTGTTAAATGCCAAGATTGCAGGATCTTTAACAAAACTTTTCTTCAGTGCTTCAGGAAACTTGTACAAGTACCATATGGTTTAGTCATGCTATAGCTGTCAAGCCAAACAGTAAAGTTTTTGCAACGAAAAAAAATCAATAGGCTGGCTACCAAGAAAGTCGAGCATGTCATGTTAGCTATAGGAAGGTATCCTACAACCCTATAGACTTGTTAGTTGATAGTGAAGGACCTTCATAGTGACCAAAGTGAACTGGGAGAGTACCCTAACACTCCCTGTTTTTAAAACAAGTCCTACCTAAAAAGGGAGCAATCAAGTCATATTATTAAAATAGAAGCAAATTAGTAACAATGGTAATGGACTTAACGAAAACCATCCAAATTGAAGGCATGGCATGTGACGGTTTGGTCAACGATGATGTGCCATTAACAATATTGCCGGCTGAAAGTCTTAGACAAATCTTTGTTTGACGTCATTTTTTTACCGGGTTGTGTCAACGCCGTTGTTTTTTTTATTTTTCAATTCAACGTTGATCGATTCAGACACTGTCTGCTATCTTAAACTCATCGCCTTCTCAATGGATGCATGTAAACTTCATTGGGCTGTCATATTCTTCAACTGATGTTCACTGGTCTCGGTTTACACTGAAGGAGTCTAAGTTTACACTGTTCTTCATCATCTGCTTTGTATGGACTTGAGTTTACTAATGAGGTGTGGTATACTGTTTTCAATTTACCGAGGTTTATCAATCTGAATGAGGAGAAGCTGCTCCATGAAATGTCTGAATGAGTATCTCTTAAAATTTGCTACTTATTTTGCTGATGGTTATCAATGGATTTGACTTTTGTAAGTTTTTTTTTGTTTCTTTTTTAAAGCTGAGGTCGGTGTTGCTGTTGCATTGTGTGTTAGATTAGTCTGCTGTTTGTAGTTCGACTGTTGAGTCATTGATACGGTGATTCTCTTCAAATTGGATCTGATCTAGTCGGTTGTATGTGTTTGTTTTCAGTTTCTGGTTAGGCATCTAGATTTACTCCACATTACTCTATGGTTTTTAAGTTTGTTGAATCATGGAAAAATTGCTGTGGTTTGAGGTTTGAATGAGGTTATTGTATCTGGGATAGTCTTGAAACACTCCTTAGTTTACTGGAAGTTGATTTTCTCATGAGAGTTGTTCTTAGTTTACTCTTTGTTGGTTTAAATCGACTGCTTCAATCTTCTTAGATGACATGTTCTGCTACTCATATTTCTGCTACATGTTGATGATGGCCTGATGATAAGTTGGTTATTGAGTGCTGATACAACATAATTGAATTGTTGGAAACATAATTGTGTTGTTTTCAAGAGAAAAATGTTTTGATTCCGGAAGGAATTCCGAATGAAAGAATAAAAAAGAGAAAAGTAAGGTGAATAAAGTAGAATGAAAGGAAGATTCACATTTTCGATTGTCGTCTAAAGTAGAACGAAAGGAGTCATAACACTTTTGATTCTCATCTAAAGTAGTACGGAAGGAAACATCGAACTTTCGATACAAGTAGAACGAAAGGAGACATAACACTTTTGATTTAAGTAGAACAAATGGAGGCATAACACTTTTAATTCTCGTCTAAAGTAGAACAATAGGAAACATCGCACTTTCAATTCAAGTAGAACGAAAGGAGGCATAACACTTTCAAATTCGCATTTTCGTTTCTCAATGACAGGATGATAAATGAAGAGAGAGCATATTTCTTTATCAAAAACCAACTCAAATGTTCATCTTTACACCAAGAAGGTTGAAGAAGTAGGGTTAATGTTAGAATGTTAATAGAATTAGTTAATATTTATTATTAGGTAATTACACTTTGGTTAGTTTGATAGCAAGGCATAATGGGCTATATAAGCCTCCTATTGTTATGGCTAAAGGAAGATACATTGTAATTCATTTCTAAAGTTAGTAAAAAAAACCTAATACTCCCCGTTTACTTGTTATCGTTGATTGCCTTTCTCTTCTTCATTAAGTACTGTCGTTCAACTAGTGGCGGATCCAGAAAAATTGTTAGGGTGGGCACATATATTAACAACATAAGACTTTTAAATAGGATGAGTACAAATAAAATTTCAAGGTAGACATCGTCCGTAAAATAAGTAACTAATCGAAGAAAACTCAGATTTTAGGACGGGTACAAAATTTTCAGGATGGACACCATCAGTAAAATAAGTAACTCATAGAAGAAAATTCATATTTTAAAATGGGCATGTGTCCACCCTCACCAAATTGTGACTCCGCCACTATTCAACAATGTTCAGCCATTGTGTCGGAGTCATTTCATCAGATATTTTTCTTTTCTTACAAGAAAATGTATATCAAATTAAAAAGGGTGAAAATAAGAGAAATTAAAGAGATTCAATCAGATGGATTTTTGTAATACCTAATACCTTAAAAAAAGCATGCTTAAATGCACACTAGGCGTGCGCGTGATCAAATGAGACAGGCTTGAAAGGGTCTGAATCTGAAGAGCATTTGTTGAATAATGTTAAGATGCAAGGCGCGCACCTTGACAACAATGGATACAAATGATTTTAGGAAGATTCCGTTTTCAATATAAATAAAAGAACGCATTGTTTTTTACTATTACTTAATTTTTATGATGTTTTACCATAGATTTGCTTGTTCCCTGTCTGCTGTTGGCCTGTGTTCTTTTCTATAGTATTCAAATATTTAAGGATATAAGGCTAAGAACATAATACAACATTATCAAATTCTGAGTGGAATCGATGTAGCTGATATGGACAACTCCTACCGTTTCTAAATCCGGAAAGGCACAGTTATTTAAAATTCCCGTCTTTAAAAAACAAACATTGGGCAGCTCAGCTCTACTGGGTTGTCGTAGTATTTGAGTAATGCACAACAAAGTCTAACACGAGATAATTAGCACTAAAAGTTGAGAACATTGTATGAGAATACTCACCTGCACTTGAAGCTGAAGCTGTTTTAAATACTCGATCGCCTCGTCAAGCATCGAAGCCTTATCCGTCTATCACACACACAAAAATCGTTTACTAGAAGAAAAAAAGGTTACTATGATTATGGATGATTTTAGATACCTTGTTAGAGTTTGGGATTAGATTCTGTAGAGCTTTCATTTTCTCATTAATCCGACTCCTCCTCCTCTGCCAAACAAAAATACATCAAATTTCTTATAGATAGATTCTTCTATTGAAAATATAAAGATGTTAAGAAGTCAAACCTTTTCTGACAAATTATGTACTTCGGCTGCTCTGCTTCTCTTCGATGAACTCCGTGGCCGTTCTTGATTTGATGGAACCTCCGATGCATCCGGAACCTTCTAGATTAAATAGTAATCTTAATCTAAGATTTCCAGTTGGAGAAAAAAAAATCTAAATCTTTCGCCCTTTTTTTTATCAAATGGAAAAGATACTTGAAACGTTAACAATATTATTTCAAATTCTTTTACCTCGCTGTCATAACTGAAATCGCCGGCAGAAGATAACGCATTGTCGGCGTTATCTTTAACGTTGGTTCCAAAATATTTTTCAGGATTAGAGAAATTAACTCGAGGCTCTGATTCGGCTCCAATAGCCAATCCTCCGAGCCGGTAACGATCCACAACCGGAATCGGCATCCCAACACCCGAGGTAGATGCCAGCGTCGGAATTCCTGGCACTTGAGACGGAACACGGTGAATGTTTTTGCCCTTGAATTGCACGCGGGAAGATGAAGATGACGAAGTAGAAGGATTGTGGAGGAGTTGGTTAAGGAAAGTGGATATTTCTTCGGGATCCGGATTCGAATATGGCGCGTCGCCGTACAGATCCGCCATGAAAATAAGCCGGAGAAGAAATTAAATATAATCGAAACGCAAGCATAAAAGGAGAAAACGTTTCTGATCCACTTGGTTCTTCCTTTTCCTTTCCCTTCCTTATTTTCTTTATTTGTCTGTCTTTTTCTGTTCTGATTTTGTTCTTTTTTTTCAAAAATAAATTTATATGTCTGAAAATGTTTACTGAAATAACAGAGTATGAAGCGTTAGCTTTTATTCTCAAAGTTACATTGCATAATCAAATTTTGATTAATCTCCCGCCCTAATTAAAACGCACCGCCCAATATTTTTATTATTTTCTTTTGGCCCCCCCTTTTTTATATTTATTTCGAATCTTCCACCTAATTTGATAGCATCCAACATTTTACAAATGACAAATTTATGTTTTACCCCTTCACAAATGCAAAAGAGAATTGAACCTTTAAACTTTTTCAATGAAATTGTAATATTGATTTTTTTTACTTTATATCATTTTTAACTAAATTATGAGTTTTTATATCTTGTAAATAAATTCTTTTTATATAATATTTTAATTATTTTAAAATTTTAAATTTGATATTGTTATACATTTAAATATATTAAAAATCTTATTTACAAAATATTATAAATATATCAATTGAATGAATTAAATTTAAATTATCTGAATTAATTATTTGTGCTTATCCAGAAACGATAAGTTAGATTCATAAATTCCAAGAATCTTATGACAGCAAGATTCATTGTTTAATCATTAAACTATCGTATTATATTTAAAGAAAAACAAATCACGTGGCATAAGTTGATTATTTTACAAGAACTAATCATTTTTACTCCTGAATTCCATTAAATGTACACATTAAGACAAAGAAGTTTCGTAATTGTTTTTCGATGTTCAACGGAGTGCAAAACATGAAGCAATTATATGAAAGATATTCCCTTTTTTTTTAATTCCTTTAAATAAATAGAACTTACAATACCGGCAAAAACAAACAGCGATTAAAATGATATTTAAGAAAATTTAAAATTAATAATACTATTTCTAAACGATAAAAAACAAATTTTAAGTAAATCTTAAAACTTTGAGGGATGGGAATGATATTGTGAAATATTCGAGGGACGCGGGTGTTATTAAGGTAATAATAGGTAGAAAAGAAGAAAAAGTCAAAGAGACAAGGTTCAACTTTTACTGTCTTATCCAACTAAAGACTGAAAATAACATTAATTAAAAGGGGGACTTACCCAATACTGCAATTCCCGAGGCCATTATTGTCAGTTGCGTGTTAGAAAACGAGCAGATCTGTCACCAGTCAACCATGGGATTTTCAAGATTCTTTTCACCTTCACCATGCCTCATGTTCAAAGTTCATCTATCTTTGCCAGTGAAACCAGTAGGGTTTTCGGCTTTGGCTCAAATGGTATCATATTCACAAGTCATGAGATGGAATCTTATGTGCCCGACCTACGGGTCTAACTGTTCAGGTTCAGGTATTGATAGAGTAATGAAAGAAGAAACTCCGATCAAGCCTCGAATAAGTCTCACCGCATCGAGACGTCAACACCTAAACATATTGTTTAAGTCAGCTACGCTATGATGGTTAACAACGCAATCAAGAGTATGGGCTGTAGCTTGTTTGTAAGGCTATGCTAATCGTGGAGGTTGCTTTCAAACCCTGCTTTAATGTCGAAGCATTACCTTTTCAAGTTGAGGGTTGGTGTTAAAATTATCACCTTCTCTGACAAACTTCTCCTACCCCAATTTGTGCAAGTAAATGACCAACCAGACTGAAACAAACTAGAATATGAGCTCATTGATTTTTAGACATTTCAAACCTCCATAATCGAGGGTTAGATCTCGAGGCTCCACTGAACAACCAATGAGAAATTGACAGAAAATGATTCCCAACGAGACCAAACCTCTGTTTTCCCCACCCAATATTGAAAAGAGAGAAAACAAAAGGGCATAAAATATAAAGATAATCAATAATCTATGTCGCCATTGGCTGAAGATTCATACATAAAACTAATAGTGCTTCAAATATGTGTCATCCACCCAGAAGATCGCTTTGTTTGACATAATTGGAGGTACTAATGCCTCTGACAATTGGATTGAATTGCCATGGATTTCTCAGAGTGAAGACTCTTGAAGGCTGCATTATGGCAACATTTCAAGTTTACCGAATTCCAGATGCAAAGCCACAAACTTCGACATTGGTTTTTTTTTCCTCTCCGACTTGAGAGGAGGAACTAATTGCCCTAAAACAACCCATTGTCTCATTTAGTAAGCCCAGTTGTTTTACAAATGGGGCACAAGTTCTTTTGCATCAACCACTGTTTAATGCAATCAGCATGGAAGTTGTGGCCACATTCCAGTGTCCCAAGATTTTCTCCATCATTATATTCTTCCTGCATATTCGTAAACAATAATTTAAGGGGGTTCATAGAAACAGAAAAGAAACCACATACGAGGAAATCCATTACCTGACAAATACAACATGGTTCTGCCTCTAACTGAGCTCTTGATGTACTAGAGTACTTTCGTTGCTTCAGACGGTTTAATATAGTTTCTTCAGTCAATCCTGTGCTTACATTACCAATGCGCTCTTCAAGAGCCAACAACTCCTATTACCCACAAAATAATTCTAACATGAGAATTTTCAAACCTGGAAAGTATAGGTAAGTAGATAGATAGATAGATAGATAGATAGATAGATAGATAGATAGATAGATGATACCTCATATGACATGTTATCGACATCAAGCCATGTATCCCTATGCCGGTCGTGAATATCAGCTATGCAAAAAAACACAGATTGATTGAGGATCATAACATCCTGCCATACAAGCAGTATTAGAAAGTATACGCCACTGTTAGGTCAGAAGTAAATTCCCATCCATAAACAACACTTCTCCAACATTACATGGCCAATCTCTGCTCATAACAGCTCAAATATAAAGAATAGCTAACTACTTAACTATGGTGACCACGAACAATAAAAGAAGGATTTTTTTTCATGCTTCCACAATTCAATAGGTGAAGAGAGAAGTACACCATACTACATAAGTATCAGAAACATTACCTCTAAACGCAAGTTCTCACCCCTACGCATGAGATCCAAGACATGAGGAATCTGCACCATAACAAACTGTCAAATCCAGTTGAGGCCTTATTTTATAGAAGATCATTTAATGTTAATATGTTGAGCACAGCTAAAACAAAGACTTTACAAGGAAAACATTTGTGTGATCAAAATGACTGAAGTGACGCAAATGAACAAGTGATTCATAGTACTTGTGCTGGTGAAAGCAATTTGGAAACAATGCTCAATGGAATTTATTTCAAACAAAAGCAACTAGGGAAAAAAACAACAGCATACACATGTTTTCCACAATTAGCATTGCATTATCATGCAAGAAAAAAAAATGTTTCTCCTTCACCCATAACAGTTATTTGCTATTCCACAAAAGTTAGAATGGATGCAAATCAAATACTAATAATGTTAAGGAAATACGACTTGAGGTTCCCACTTTAAGGAAACGGCAAAAACTAACACAATAAATTAAAATTCAGTAACAGGGCAGACCTCTGGCACAAGAACCCTGCTTCTTCCTTGAGTTGCAGCAGCTAAAGTTGGCAATGAATGGGGGATTCCAACCAAACTAGCATCTTGTCTTCCCAACCATGACAGTGGCCTAGGGTATTGCCGATGGTGGCCCTGATTACCATCACCAGACGAAAGCAGCATCTCTTGTGTAGAAGTAGGAAGTCTTGACGCAAGACGAGAATGATTGGCATTGCCTCCAGGTTCAGCACCATTGGAAGACATCAATGATCGACGAACAAGTTCTGACAATCTTCGTGGGTATTGTTGGGATGAAGGGTTGGGATGAGGAATCCATGAAGGAGCAGATGATGCATTGGTACCAGAACTCGAGCCACTGTGATATGGAGAAGCAACATTTCCAGGAGCACTTGTATTTACAGTGCCTAAGCCTCGATTTGTTGGATTTCTAATCATAGTTCTCAACTTCGGTGCACAAACAATCATAGGACGTTCAAATAAGTTTCTAGCCATGCTTCTGGATTGATGCCCTTCACATGGTACAGCATCTCTATCCCCAGATAAGTTATAATTTGATGAACCGCCAATTCTTGAACCAGAACCTCCATCCAGCCTAAATGGTTGCACATTTTGCGGCAAATTTGGAACATGATTTGCGCCATTCGGGTTTTGTGCACTTGCATTATCTGCCACTGGTGCAGACCTTAAATCCAGAGAATGATCAGTTGGAATAAGTCTTGATGGCTGCTGAGAAGACAAAACAAAAGACTGCCTCGCTGCATCAACTGTAGAAAACATCGGGGTAGTAACATGTTCTTGCATACTTGAAGGATTTATTCTACGGCGAAAATTCTTGTGAACACCCTCTGCTGTTGGTAAAACAATTGGTTCATGAATGCTTCCGTAATCTGATCCCCTTACATCCAATCCAAGTCTAGGGTGCACCTGTCCTGAAGGGGCAAATATATTCACACTGCTTCCAACACTATAGCTAGAAGGACCTCCATGGCATGCACTACGATGGAAGTTGTTAGAACTTCCACTCGATGAAGACTGGCCAACATTTCCTTCAAGAGCCTTTCTTTTGCAAGGAGAACAACGACCCTCATACGGGCTACCTAGTCTGGTATCATTATCACCCACGATATACTCATCACTTCCAGAAGAATTTAGAAAAGATTGGGGACCAGAAATAGTTGACATCCGCTCATTTTCAGATCTACCAGGCTTATATAGATTAGACTGTTCGATAACTTGACAACTATCATCATCATTATCCTTTAAACTCTCATTTAAGTTGATATCCCGGGGAATTGTACTAGAACTGGAACTTTGGCCAAAAAGAGGGTTTCGTTCATACTGCTGCTCTTCTAACGGTGGACCAGCACTTGCAGAAGCACTTATGGAAGATGACCACCCATGTGTTTGTTTTCTGCTCATTTTGGCTTACTCACTATGTGCACCATTTGAGCTAGACTCTTCCAAGCTCCATCGACCCAGTTCCTGCTCTTGAGCAATAGGGTTCCCATGTCCAATATTAATGTCATTATTCGAAAGCAAAAAATCAGACAATCTACTTTCAATGGGATTTCGGATATTATTCCAGCATACTTGCTGTTATATTG